GCCCCCCCCGGGTATCGAACCCCGGATTCTAGCGTTGTAAGTCCATAGACATACCCCTGTGTCCCGGGGGGGGGGCAAGTGTAATTGGAAACTTACTGATATTTATTTTTGTTAGTTTAAGACTAAATTAGCACTTTATACTATCGTTAATTAGTGTAAAACGAAACTTACTGCTTTATAGTTTGTTAGTTTAAGACTAAATTAGCACTGTATACCCATCATTTTACTATATTATTTTAGCATAGAGCTAGCTCTACCTATTTATTCTAAGAAAAGAATAAAGTAAAAGACTGTGAAGTGACTTGGATTAATAGCGTTAGAAACGGGATTGAAACGTTATTAGATAAGCAAATAATCTTTCGCGTGTCTCGCTTTTCTGTCAGATACTGAAACAATATATTCACGTTGGCTTTTCACGCATTCTTAGGTAGTAATGCTACGAATTCTAATCTTCTTTGAGCGTCATTCTTCTAAATAAATAATCAAACACACGAAGATACGAACTTTTTACATGATATAAGTAATAAAACAACCAATTCTCTTTTAATATGTTCAAAATGTAAATAGTCAGAAGAAAGGCAAGCGTTCTAAAACTAATCTGTATTATCTATTATCAATCACGGAAATGATTTGGTTAGTATTTTTCGGCAGTTCAAAAATTGTAGCTTGTCATAATCACTTTCGTTAAAGATTAAACTGGATTGTTCTCAATCAAATCATTTTCACAAGAGAGCCAGATTGTTGATGTTTTTATTTTGCACATAATTCAGGCTTTGGTTAATAACATTTCATTGTTTTACTTTGATAATTTCAACACTAAAATGCCTCCAGCTATTTCTACATATATATACCTATATTGTTGAATAGCTTGGTTATAATACTTAGATATTTTCGTTAGCTTGTACAAATACCTGGAAGAATAAAACATTTAGTTCACGTGTTATTAGAAGGAGGTGGTATTTTATAACTTGATGTACTTCCACAGGTTCCTCGAAAGTGTTCGGTTTCAAGAGTAAATAGAACCAAAATTAAAAATAACAAATATTTATATATTTCTTGCTTATGAAGTTCACATGTCATGCTGTGTTGTAGCCTACAGAGTACATAATTTTTCTCGTGATACATGGCATGCGCACGTTTTACTGACGTCACGACAGTACTAATTGCAACGTTAAGCGCCTCCTGACAGACAACACAGTACTGTATAGTGTTGCGAGTGGTTAAAACAGGTGACCCCTCCAGGCGGCATTCGGCCCCCTTTCGGGAAAATTATTATAAAGTCACCGACTCTTTGGCATTAGTTATTTACAACTCAAGTTGTACGGAACATTGAATGTTTTTGATTGTTTTCCATACTACCCATCAGTCTCTATTCATTCCTCTATCCATCCAGCTATCTGTTCCGTTCCCTGATGGGTCAGCGGTAATTTTGCGGACTTACAATTATTAATAAGATTGTTTGTTTGTTTTTTAATTATGCACAAAGCTACACAAGGGCTATCTGTGCTCTGCCCACCACGGGTATCGAAACCCGGTTTCTAGCGTTGTAAGTCCGCAGACATACCGCTGTGCCACTGGGGGGCTATTAATAAGAACTGCTGAGTGAAAGTACATAAGAGTGTATAATAATATATCAACTTCTCTATATCTAGTGCCGACGAGACCTTTCGCCCAGTACCAGGGTTCTTCAGACCGGATGAAATAAGACAGACATAGTAGTGGTTGAAATTGAAACGCTATATAACTACTTGTTAATTAGCAAACTACTAATTAAAATTCCAGGTTTGATTCGATGCGGTGGACGAAGCGCAGATAGCCCACTGTGTAGCTTTACAACAAACAAATAAATGAAAATATTTATCCCACTCGAGTTACTGTATTATATAAAAATGTTCTTTGACAAGGAAGTGTAATCGTAAACAACCTGGCGGGGCTACTTATAATTCAACATTGTAAAGAAAATATATTTTTATATAATTAGTCAGAACCTTCTATCAGACTTCCCAGTAATGGGAACCTTATCCTTGAATATAAGGTTTGGCATAGCCTGAATGTTAGGGCGCTCGACTCAACATCTGCGGTTAGCGTGTTCGAATCCCCGTCATTGAACACACTCGCCCTTTCAGCCATGGGGGCGTTATAATGTGGCGGTTAATCCCACTATTCGTTGGTAAGAGAGTAGTCAAAGAGTTGGCGATGGGTGGTGATGACTAGCTTCCTTCCCTCTAGTCTTAAACCGCTAAATTAGGAACGGGTAGTGCAGATAGCCCTCGTGTAGCTTTGCGCGAATTTCAAATCAAACTATCAGAGACCAGAGTCATTTTTTGAAGTAAAACACTTTCTTAAAGTTTAAACATATAAGCATAATTAATAAAACTGGGGATTATTCCATTGTATTTCACTTTTATACTCTATCCTATTCCTTTCTATACCAGTAACATTTTGCGACATAGTTTTCTGCACAGTTTTCGAAGATGAAAGTTCCCAAAACTAGTCCAATAGATGTCGTAATCAGTTTTAAAGAACGTCTATTTCCTCTTTGACATGTAATATACATTGCATTATACATAATTTTGTTAAATCCCATAATGGGTCAGCGGTAACTTTATGGACTTACAACGCCAAAATTTGAGGCTTGATTCCCCACAGTGAACAGAGCACAAATAGTCCATCGTGTATACTAGCTTTGCATTTTTTGTTAAGTTTGGCCTTTCCAATATAGGAGCAATAAAAAGCAGTACCTATTAAGTTAATGATTAATTCAGAATGTACGGCTCTTTCTGAAAACACACATATATATATATACAAGGAACGATAGGCCTACTTTTAATTACATCAATACAAAATCTTGGAACCAGAAGGCTTCTAGTCAAACCAACTTCCTTGAAATATTTTGTGATCTTATATATATCTATGTTTCTTTAAGAACAGTTTTAATGAAAGAACAATTATTTCTGAAGTTTTCTTAATGAAAGCAATACATTGTGCAGAATAAAAGTAATGTTTAATTTCTGCATATCCTACACGTGTGGTCTTGAATGGGCCTGTTTTTCTGGTTCAATCCTATAGACTTTACTAATAGGAGTACTCGTCCGTAACAAAAGATAAGAAATTGTGCTTATATTTTTTTCCTTAACATAATAAACATTAAAAGTGAAATAAAAATACATTAAAGGTACCAATACTGAAAGTAAAGACATGTTCTTTTAAAGAATTCTATCAGTAGTGGTTACATAGTTCATTCTAATGCTGAGGGGTAGACA